AGAGGGAGAAGCAGGCTTCCCGCTGAGCAGGGAGCCGGACATGGGGCTCGATCCCAGGACCCCAGGATCATGACCTGAGCCGAAGGCAGCCGCTTAACCGACTGAGCCACCCAGGCGCCCCCCTATACTATGTTTCTGATCTTTGTGCCAGTTTACTGTAATTTCTCACTCCAGGGGGAGCTGTGGTCCATGCGAGGTGAAAATATGTGCATATACAATTACAGGACTTTCTAGACAAAGCTGAATGACCCAGGTGTGCAGGGGGGCACGTGTGTCACTGAGGAGGGGACGGTGGAGCTGCTTTGCAGAAATGGTAGGGGCTGTTTCTGGGAAAGGCATAGAAACAGAATTTTGGGGACGCCTGGGTGGCTTAGTCGGTTGACCGTCTGCCTTCGGCTCAGGTCATGAACCCAGGTCCCGGGATCGAGTCCCGCATCGGCCTCCCTGTTCAACAAGGAGCCTGCTTCTCCCTCTGTCTGCTCCTTCCCTGCTTGTTCTCTCTCTCTCTCTTTGACAAATAAAATAAAATAAAATCTCTTTAAAAAATCCCCTACCTGCATTTTTTACACTTTTTCTAGTTTAGTAGAAGTTAAATGTGAAATTGTAAAGTTTTCCAGACGTGTTCAACGTCTGAGCAATGGCTTCCAGAAGCCTTCCCTTCCTCACTGCACAATGGGTCCAACTCTCCTTTCACTCCACACATGATTCCCACACTTCTAGACTCAAAGGCCCTTTGACTCTACTTCTGTGACTGCGACCAGCCACTTCCCTGAGACCCTGTGCTCAAGGCAGTGGGAGGGATCTTGCCCACTGAGCTCAGGAATGTCCTCAGGGCTGCTAGCATAGACCCCAACGTCCTCCCTCCCCTAAGTGTCCATCCTGACCTGGCCCCGCCCACCTTCCTGCTCCCAATGCAGCCCTTCCCCTTGCTCTCTGAACTCCAGCTTCTCTCTTTCCTATAACTCAAAACCCTGAATTCCCACCCCTTCCATGGTTTCCAAGCTGCCTCTTCCTCTGCTTAAAGGGGGAAATGTGCTACAATGTGAGTCATGCAGAAAACACATATTTTGGCAACTCTGAGTAGCTCCTTAGAGCAGGATACAGGCATATCATCACAGATAGGAAAAGACAATATATAGGCTCATTTGCAAGGTAAGCAAACTATAGACAATAGTGCAAACAACAGCCTGCATCCATATCCAAACACAAGGTCATGAACATGACTCTTCTTGTGGACTCTCCCACTCCTCTTTGTTCCTCATCCTGCTCCCTTCCTGAATATGAAGCCGATCCAACCCCTCCATCATCACTGTATGGTCTTCAGTGGTATAAGGACTTCATGAGCATTACCACATTACATTCATGTTCAATGTTCCAAAAGTCTTGTGCATAAAAGCAATGGATTCCAACTACTCTCGAATCAATGTATTAGTGTTTCATTTCCGGTATTTCCAGAGAAAGAGAGAAACTGAGTATCTGTAAGATTTCTGACCTCATGAAATTCTCAGTGAGCCCGAGATGGCACCAGGGGGTAGGTAGGGATTGGGCAGAGGACCACCTGCTTCTCCCAGGTCACACATCCTGACTCATTGCCCTTCTTGTCATTGCCCCCCAGCAAGAGTGGGGACCACTTTGCTTCTGGAAACAAAGTAATTCTCTTACACTGGGAGACCAATAACTACAGAGGATATAATTTTTATTGAACTCATACATATCCACAAAATCTAGAGCATGAAGTCTTCTGATCTCAGTCGGATGTGTAACTATAGAAACCATAATCTGAGCTATGTTTGGTCCCAGATGGGAACATGGCAGTGATGAAGAAGACTGGAGCAGGGGTGGAGGGTGTAAGTTACCACCTTTGCCCATGGACCAGGAGCTCCTTGTGATGCTTGATTGTATTTAGCTCTAGAACAATGAGAATCAGGCTGTCCTTGGGGTGAAGCACAGAGGTGGTAAAGAAGTCAGGGCAGTTGGCCTGTCCCAGGCTTGTCTTATCCTCCCTACTGCTGCCAGGGAAATGAAAATGCTCTTTATGCAAATTTGCACCCCCTTCCAGACTCTCTCAGCCCTCACCTGATTAGTGAGTCAGGAGCAGAGGTAGGACGTGAGGACAAAAGAGTCTAAGGGCAGATCCTTCTCTGAGTGAGACCCCAGAGGGGGTGGAGGGAGCAGCTGTGGGGACACCCACAGGACCCTGCCCAGGAGCCTCTGCCGGGCCCTGAGGGACCGGGCTGCTGGGTCTCACCAGGGAGCACAGCGGGCAGCTCAGCCTCTGCCCAGCCCTGAGCCCAGGGGGCTCCCCCAGTTGGGAGGGTCCTCCTGAAGGGCCCAGGGAGATGCACAGTGCCCCCTGCTGGTCACACAGCCCTCTCTGTGTCCTCAGTGTCCTGAGGTTAACATCCAGAGCTGTGTTACCAGCCTTCAACGATGACTTGAACAACTAACTGTGTGAAGCACACATTTGGGTCTGATTGAAAGAACATGATTACAGTGTCTATGATTTGAGAGGCTTCCAACATGAGGGAAAGGTCATCAAGAAATAAACACTCCTGTGAGTATGGGAATGTCTAGAAACAGAAGTCATACAAAAGAGTGAGATTATCCCACCCCCTGGACATTGAGGGAGCTCCTCCAAGGAAGGCTAAGACCTGCACAAAACATGAACTTCCGTCCCTGAAGGGAGAACGCTGGCTCCCACCGTCTGCTGATTATTGACTTCATTGTTCAATTCTAGGCACGATTCAGAAACATCACATTACGGAGCCCCTCATCTGATGGGACACAGCTCTGTCAACTGGAGTAAGGGGCTCATGTGCAGTTTCCTTTTCCTTTTTCAAACCACCTGTTCGACTGGCCTCAGGTCCACACCTTGCTGCCCTCCCCCTTCAGGGCGGCAGGTTCATGCCTTCGTAGGGCAGCGCATGGGATGACGTCACACTGGGCCCTCCATCATGGACCCCAGACGCCTAGGTGACTCTCTGTGCCCGCACTAGGATGCTGTCGCTGTGCTTAGAGTTTAGTGAGCTGTGACAACACAGCCCCACAGTGTGGCCGCCCTCACAGTGTCCTGTACGGGAGTGACTCCAGCATAAACACAGTCACTGGCCTTCACACACTCTCCCCTCTCCTCCTCCTCCCCCTCCTGTCCATCCCTGGCCTCTTCACCACCTCTAGATTCCTGCCTCCCCCAAAATGTGCCACAGCGACCAGTACAGAGAAC